TTTTCCTCCTCTGCCTTGCGCTTGGCTGCTTCCTCTGCGCGAGCCTTCTCGGCTTCCTCCTTCTTTTTGGCAGCTTCCTCGGCCTGCGCTTTTCGCTTGGCCTCGAAAGACCAAGAATCACGGAAGCATGACAGAAGCATCGGAAGCAGTCTCAGAAGCACGGCCGACCATGAGCCCTACTGCCGGCTCTCGCCTCCGCCTCCTCCCGAGCCTTCTGGGCCTCAGCCTGCCTCTTTTCGGCCACTTCCTGCGAAACGGAAACGGCCACCGAGAGATCTTTCAACACCCGCGCGCAGAGCCACAGAGCCAGTCCTTTCTTCGCTGTTCCTCCTCCTCGCGCTTGGCCTTGGCCTCAGCTTTTCTTCTTTCCTGTTCCTCCTTTCTCTTCTGGGCCGGGTCCTAATGCAGTCAGCCGGGCACTGAAGAAGCAGCAACAGCTCAAGGACAGATCTTGATTTGAATGCACCCCTCCTGCACCTCCACGGCTACTTCTTCCGCCTTGACAACAACGGCATCGTGTTCCAAACAAGAACTGTTCAGAAGCTGCGTTGCTGTGCTTGGCCCTCGCTGCGGCTGCACAAAGACATGCAGGAAGCACCCTCACGGACGAAGGCGCGACCTCGGAGAGGAAAGTCTGAAGCCCACTGCCAGTTGCTATCTAGCTCTGATCCAGCAAAAGCTGTGGCGGGAGCGGGCCCGAGCAACGCCACGAGGACGAAGGCTAGCCCTCCCAGCACCTGCGAGTGGGATGCCCCGCCTCTTCTCTGAAGGGAAATGAGACGTCTTTTTCTCCAGCGGGCTCTTCCGGGCTAGGACCGGGATCAGGAGGCAGCTCATGTCGGCATCGACGGCATCCAGGCTCGTCGATCCTGCCCTTGCAGCAGATGTAGCGCCTCACATAAGACCTGGGGGCCGCAGCACTGGCGAACCCTCAACGGCTGAGAGCTAAGCCATCGACTTGAAGACCTGGCGTCCACAGATCCTGAGACACTTTCGGGCCATGGCTGGTCGATTGCAAACTCGGTATGGTTACGGCCAAATGCTGCCAGCACGCTCGGTGCCGCAATTTTTGCAGCACCCCTTTTCAGATCTTTCAGGCCAAGGGCAACAAGCGCGATCTTCGCGTGAAATTTCAACGTCCTCGACAGAGCTCATCCCATCTTTGCAAGCAAACATACGTGTTGAGAACCATTCGGCTCCTCTAGCCACGGAAAACGATGGTGTCGACACGACGTGTCAGAGTTGCCTGTGCTCCATGCAGGTTCCAGTTCGAGCGTCGTGAACTTTAAACACCCATCCATGCAGCCATGGTGCGGGCAGTGTCGAAGTACACTCCGCATCGCTGGCAACACGGCGGCCATGACAAAAGCAGGAAATCGAATTCGGCCTCTGTTGTGGCAGAGTCATGCATGTGAAGTTTGGCATGTTGCTCTGTGCTTGACCATGCCTTCAACGCACCCGGCATGTCCTTCTGGATCTCACCTTCCAAGAAGCTATGAGGCAGGAAGCAAATTCGGGCTTTGTCGGGCCAGGCAACCTGTGCGTGCAAAACGCAATACCCAGTCGAAGAGGTCAGGGTCCCTGTCCAAGAAGAGGACTCCGTCCTCGCAGGCTTGCAGGGTCGGCTGCCGTGCTGCGAGGCTGACGCTTGCCTCATCTCGATCAACTGGGATCTCGCCGTCTAACCTCGGTAAAATGGTGAGCCACAGTCTTCCACGCACACTCGTCTGCCCACGGCGTACTTGCTGCCATTGAAGACATTGTGACGGTCGCAGGTTCACCAAAGGCCCATAAATGCCCATAAAGGTTGAGGTTGAAGGGATACGACCGTACAACAGCAAAGCGGTACCAAGCCAAGGGGAGAGTTCGCCAGTCTTGGAAAATTACGTGGAAAGAGATGTTGGGTCCGACAGAAATCAACTCCGATGCCAAGGAGCAGTCGGGCACAGAAATCTCCACAGGCACGCAGCGTGCTTTCGGATGTGCGAAACATTCGCCCACCGACATTCAGCTTGACCATCGGCATGATCAGACATGGACCAACAAACTCCTGGTTTCCCCTGTGGGGGTTTTAAGTATAGCTTCCAATGCTTGCCTCAATTGCCAGACCACGTCTGGAAATATTTCAGCTACCTTCAGCTTCAAAGGATTCGTCGCAGCTCGAGCCACGACGCGAATATGGCAGTTGTGGCATCTCGGATGGAACGAGACCCATTTCCTGATTCTGAGGATCTTTCTGCGCAGGCTCGCTTTCGGCCCCAGCTATGGCAGGAGACCGCAGGACAGGTTGCAGACAAAATACACCCCAAGCTTGTCGGGAAGAAGCTTACAAAAGAAGTTCGACCTTCAACCCTTAATCCGTGGAACCCTAAAGCCAGAAAACAATAGAACCCTATGCATCCCTAAATCTCTTAACCTAAGCCAAAACTCCAGATGTTCATAGAACTCTTGTATACTCTTCTCTCTGCACCTGCCTGGGAGCGACGAGTCGGTGAGCTGACGGCCTCACTGGCGGAATTCCGCTTCCGCTGACTTGGTCGTGTCCGCAACTGCCTGATGCAGGCTGAACGAAAAAGGCACAGGAAAGACTAGCAGCCCCACCCACCGCTCACCTGGAACACGAAGTCGGGCGACTCCTCGCGTGGGCAGGACGGCAAGCCAGTGCTTCGGTGCTGCAACGTGTCACACGGCACAGTATCTGCTTACTCTGTACGGAAGCCGCGTGGTGCAGCTCGAAGCTCGGGGATTGCGAATGTTGCATGCTGTCGGAAACGTCTTCTTCAGACCCCTGAGACTATACCGCAGATTCCGGTCGGTCATGCCCATTTCGAACAAGACAAATAGGCACGCACGCCTCAACCTTTCATGAGAAGAGAAACACTCTGATCTGAAAACACGGAATTAAGGCGATGTTTGTGGGCCCGTAGAGGCCCTGTGCCTTTGCCAAAGACGAGAGGATGAGAGCGGCGCTGACCTGGCTCGATTCGGGCATTGGGCTCGGCTAGGCTGGCATGGCATGGGAGGTGCGAAGCGACCCGAAGTGACGAAATCTTGGCGCCGGGCGGAGGCCCCAGCCCCGAGGTGGCTGCCCTCCGGCGCGAGCATCTGGGGACCCAGCTTCTCCAGCACAGCATCGGCCTGAACGCGAAGCATCGCGAAGCGAAATGTCAAGCGAACCCGGACCGCCGTCCCCAAAGCCTGTGCACGCATCACCCGGGAAATCCGTCGCGCCCGCTCAGAGAAGAGGGGCTCGTTCAGCAGCCTGCAACAGGAAAGGTACACAGCGCCCATGGAAACTGAGGCACTGTGAGCGAACTTTGGAATTGGCTTTGTGACGGATCGCGGCCAGCTCTTTTTGCATGCTACTCGGGCGGCTCTCCACCGAGGAAGCTTTGAAGCAAAGCCAAGCGATTCCTTCCTCCATCCTTGCACGCTGCTCGGAAGAAGCAGGTCACCACGCAGTCGCAAACAAAATTTCAGTCCTCGTCCCACTCTGCCAAGCTAACTTCTTTCACCTAAGCCCGGGTAGATTTTGCACATTGGCAGCACGGTGAAAGCCGCGGCCTCCACATCCGGCAGGACTGTCGCCCAATGCTGCCGGCGTAGCACACGAGTCACTGGCGAGTGCTGGTCCTTGCAAACAACATCGACCAAAGAATGCCTCGGGTTACTGGTTCTCGTGCATGTCAAGAGGCGAGGTCCAAGGCCTTCGCCCGATGAACCCAGTGAAGAGCAAGGCCTCTTCACTTGCACGTCTAGAGTAGTGTTATTTGGAGCCTGCACCCTCGCATTTCTTCAGCCAAGATGCAGAAAGGTCCTGCGACGAAAGCGATCCTTTGAGAGTGACTGTCGCGATGACCCAAAAGATGCCAAGTTCGTAACTGTCAACTAGCTGGCGCTTCCTGGACACCGTAAGTACTCTGCCTGCTTTGATCTACAAGAAAGTTTGGAGAGGAAGTGTTGTGCATTCCCGATACTCAGGGATGATTAAGTACCGGAGTTTCGACTGTTGTGACTTCTCAAACGGGCTTCGCTTGGCGTCTAGAGTCCAGAGCTTGGGCCTGAACCAGTACCCGACTTTCTTAGCCACCTTGTGTTTCCGCTCAGGATAAAGTCGAGTCCGTGATTTTCTTAGCGCCTGTAGGCCTTGGCAGCCCCTCAGTCCACCCCCAGAAACAATGAATCAAGCTCAGTACTGATTATCTTGGCCACCTACCTGTTGTCTCGACGGAAAGATTTAGGGCAGGGGCCCTGAGCTTCAAATCGAACGGAATCTCGGACTGCTCCAGAGTGCTTCTCGGCTCACTCACTATACGTACTTGTCAGACAAGTAGCTCGGGTGCATCCTCGCCAGCAGCACCAAGTTCCTGATGGGTCGAAATCCGGCGTGCTCAGAACACATGCGCTCTTCGATCTCTCGCCGCCGTCGAAGCAATATACATACACGTCTCTTGCCTAAAACCAGCGCATCAAGCTGCAATGTCCTGGATTAGACTGGCGAGCTCGTCGCCCCGTTCTGATGTCCAGCTGCTTCTCTCCGCCTCCCGGCAGAGCGACGCAGAGTGACGCAGAGTGGCATTGCCATGATTCAAGCTGAGTCGGACCGCCCCCTGAGCTAGGCTCAGGCCTCGAGGCTTCCAGACAACTGGTCCTCCCACATGGAGAAAGGGCTTCCCACAGCTTCGCCCTCTTCCTTCAGGCACCAAGGCTAATAATGCAAGGCTGAACATGGTCTGCAAAGCTGCGAGCTCACCGCACAGTGCTCCGGCTGTCCTTTGAGTACGAGGGCTGCAGCTCACGCAGAAGCCACCAGCTTTCCGGAGAAAAGCCTCCGTGGCTGAGAGCAAATGAGCCCTGTCCCTGAAGCCCGCAATTCCGAGAGAAGAGAAGAGCGGGCCTTTGAGATCCGCTTCTTGCAGCTGCTTCAGAAGAGACTCTGCCAGCTCCTCTGTGAGAGACGTCGGGCGACTACAGCTGGGCACGGCGGGCACAAAACATCACTGGTCATGCCTGGTGTTCAGCGACTTTGCCAAGCGCATGCAGCGCCCAGAGAGCCCGCACTTTAGCAGCACTCGGGTCGTCGGGGCCTCGCCACAGGGAAACACGACAACCAGCAGGAATGGAAGAGAAGACAAGAGAAACAAAGGTCCATCATTGAAGCGAACCAAGCACCTGGCCAAGTCGCGAGACCGCGCCAAACAGAGCGCTCGGAGCATGCTCTGCAAATACCTCCAACCAAGCACGTCTCAATGTGTTCATCTGCTTTCAACATGCCAAGTACACACGATGCAACGCAATTTTGGCACTTTGCAGGTGCCTCGAAGCCTGCAGCGCCTTCAATGTCCTGGCCTGACTGCGCAATGGCAGCCAGCCACCAGGATCCTCTCAGGGATTTGGAGTGTGAAAAAAGGCTGGTGCGAGATGCGCTTTTCATGCCATGCAGACCCTCCTGAGCTGGCCGGAATGAGCTCGGCATCCTCAAGCAAGTACGGCCGTAGTTCCTCATCTTGCTCTGCCCGGTCCGCGGCGACGCGATCTCGCCTCAGCACCTGCAGCTCGACCGAGCAGGGCCGTTTTTGTCCCCTTTTCCCGAAAGCTTCGCGAAGGGGTTCTTCCATGCGGAGCCCTTCAGAGTAAGTACACAGAGTGAAGTACATCGAGTGAAGTGCATCGAGTCAAGTGCATAGTACACAGAGTGAAGTACATCTGAGTGAAGTACATCGAGTGAAGTACATAGTATCAAGTGCATGCATAGTACACAGAGTGAAGTACATCAGATGCACTTCACTCGATGTACTTCATTCTGATCTACTTCACTCTGTACCCGACTTATCTACTTCCTTCTAAAGCTTCACTCGATGTACTTCATTCTGATCTACTTCACTCTGTACCCGACTTATCTACTTCTTTCTAAAGTATTAAATATTCTTTCTAAAGCCGGAGCCAGCGCCGATGCCATCGATCGGGAATGCAACCCTTACCATGGATTCGCGTGGTCGAGCGCGCGAACGCGTCGTAAAATCGCAACTCGTCGGCGTGACGCGCAACCCTTCCCA